AATAGAGATTAAACAATCAAAATACATACACAGTCCGATCAGGTGGGCTAGAAACAAGTTCCCTGTCTGACTCTGTCACACAGACTACTATTCAAAAGTTTGGGGTCTGTAAGAAAAAGAAGTCTCACCAAGGTTGCATTCATTTGATCAAAAATACAGTAAAATTGTAAATATTGTGAAATATTTTATGTGTTGACAAGGTTGAATTTTCAGAAGCCACTACTCCAGTTTTTAGTGTCACAACTCAAGACAACTCTAACCAGCCATTTAAAATATAATATGCATAAATTCAGGTGTTGCAACTACAAACAAAACAATTGAAGCAGTTTTTCAGCTCAGCCAAGCATGTGAGAAAGAGAGAGTTCTTCCTACTTCCTTTTCCTCTGAGGTGCCCACTGTCTGACCTAGTTTCCACAATATACGCCATAGGGCTGCACGATTAATCGAATGCGATTGTCATGCGTATTTTGTTAGTAAAGCCGGTTCTGTAATCAGCAGTAAATCATCATCACGTGCTTTTAGATTGATGATCACAGAACCGTGCTTCACTGAAAGATACGCATGACAATCACAGCTTCTGTCGAATCGCAATCTCGATTCCATTTCGATTTATTGTGCAGCCCTAATAAGCCATCCTCAAATGTATTGTGTAGACTCAACAAAGTGGCCAAAAGACATTAATGGGTCTATGTTCACTAGTACACTACTGTTCAAATGTTTGGGGTCTATATGATTTTTTCAGAATACATATCTTATGCTCACCAAGGGTAGTGTTTTTTTTTCTGTTTTGTTTTTTTGTCCACAAAAATAGTGTAATATTGTAAAACAGCAATACTATGAAATATTATTACAATTTAAAACTACTGTTGTCTGTTTTCGATTTTGATATATTTTAAAATGTAATTTATTCCTATGATGGAAAAGCTGAATTTTCAGCAGCAATTACTCCAGCCTTTAGTGTCACATGATCCTTCAGAAAGCATTCTGATATGCTAATTTGGTACTCAGTAAACATTTCGTATTATTAGCAATGTTCACAACAGTTGTGCTGCTTAATATTTAATATAATTTTTTTAGATCATTCTATTTTTGCTTTAAAGGGGTCATATGATGCTGCTAAAAAGAACATTATTTTGTGTATTTGGTGTAATGAAATCTGTTTATGCGGTTTAAAGTTAAAAAAACACATTATTTTCCACATACTGTACATTATTGTTTCTCCTCTATGCCCCGCCTTTTTGAAACGCGTCGATTTTTACAAAGCTCATCGGTCTGAAAAAGCGAGGTGTGCTGTGATTGGCCAGCTATCCAATGCGTTGTGATTGGCCGAATACCTCAAGCGTGAGACGGAAATGTTACGCCCCTCACATACTGTTGATGCCGTGTCCCGGCCGGGACAACACATCTGAATATTTGGGTTGAACTGTTCTGGAACAGTGTTGTAAAAACCACTGATTTGTAGTCGTGTCCTCTTTTGGAAGACCAAACAAAGTAGTTTCGCTTTCACAACGAAAAAGACAGTGGCCTAGCGTGAGGGGAAGCCCCGGCTTAGTGTGTGCTGAGGTCGGGATAAAGTGAGCTGAGGCCGGGCTAGCGTGAGCGGAAGCCCCGGCTTAGCGTGAGCTGAGGCCGGGCTAGAGTGAGCTGAGGCGGCGGGGTCGAGAACGGCGCGCCCGGCGGATCCGACGAATGAGCGGCAACCACATGTGACGACCCCGGGCTGGATTCCACTTCGTCCACGGTGAAAGTTGATGTATTCCCTCAGCGACCAGCACAGATCAGCTCTAGGCATGACGAAGCGGATATCGTCCTCTTTTGGAAGACCAAACAAAGTAGTTTCGCTTTCACAACGAAGCACACAGCGCCTTCACGACATGGCTGCAGCGTCAACAAAACTACAGTGAGAATAAAAGTTACGCCTTCTTTCTTTGCATGAACATTTGGGCGGCGTTATGCAAACCTTCCCACATAGTGAGGTAGATATGTGGGGGCGTGTTAGAACCAGCCGTTTTAGGTAGGTGTGGCTGACTCTGAACTTTTATAAAGAATATCTCTTTGGATTCGAGACTTTAGTCTTTGCAACTTTACAGATCTTCTTTATGCACCAAGAGCTTGTAACACTCCAAAGAGAAAGGAAAAATTTTAATCGCATCATATGACCCCTTTAAATCTTGAAATTATGCAATACTGAAAATTGAAAATTATGCGAAACTGCTTATGCAACAAGTTAGTAGCATCTTTTTTTTTCAAATAAACAATACATCATAAACAATACATAGCCTAAATTTGCTTTAAAAAAAAGGTAACCAGTATTGGAATCATTCAATTTGCTTGTAAAAAAAAAAGTATCTGAATCAGCCATAAAAATAATGATCGGTGCATCACTAATTAAAATACTAAATAAAAGGCCTCAAATTGGAAGGACAATCTGGGCTGTCTTTTTCTATCAATTCTTCAATAGGTCAATCTTGTCTTTGATAAAAGCCAAGGTCAGGGATCTTGGGCTTAAAAAGGTTGGTGACCACTGATCTAGATGATGCTGTACTGTGCACTTGGGTCAACAAATCAATTTCAATTAAATAGACACAATCAGCAGTTAATATGATGAAAGGTTTCTGGGGGTGATATTTAAATGTGGTGGTTTGGCACAATTTTCAAAAAAGCACCGAGCTCATTCTTCAAACAAATGTATATCACTCTAAATTATAAAGTGTGGTGATCAGTCAAAAAGTGGGCGACATCTCATTTTTCTACATCACAATTTTACCTGGGGTTTATCACTACAAAGAGTTGTGAAACCCGCAAAAAAGCGTTTCTCATTATTGGAAAAGACTGGTGACAAGCAGATAGAAATGATAGATTCACTGCAAATAAAAAGCTAAACCGAGCGTTGCTATCTTTAACAGAGAACGACGGCGTGGCTCCAATGAGCTCCAGAATCAATTCAGGCTTACTGACAGAGACATCAGTTCAGATTTCTGATCTGCTGCAAACAGACCAGGGCTCACGTGTATCTTCTCCATCACAGAGCTGGTCCAGGAACAGTTTTTCAAACTTAATGCCACTGCACTGGATAAGATGCAGTGACTAAAAATGAATCCTAGACAAGCAGAGATCCTTTTACACTACAGCAGAGTCAGTGCAGCTACCACGCTTGAGGTAATACATGTAATACACGTTACATAAGGTGACATGTACACAAAGACAAACAACATACTCAAATCACCAGTACAGCAAAAAATACAAAGCCCAAAGTGTCAAGTGGAGGTAACCTTTGCCCTTGTTTAAAGCAAAGCAGTGAAATGACTAGAGGAAACGAGTCCCTGGTAATTTATCAATGCAAAACAAACTCAGAAGGAACAATTCTCTCTCTTGCCAGTAACTCCACAAACAAGGAACTGTACCACTTGTAGGGTAGAAAATGACACCACTGTATTACCAGCATTCAGAAAGTTCAGTTTATATTACTGCAAGAATGTGCTCTGTATCAAAGCTCTCCTACTAAGCTCTCCTACCCATGAAGTTTATCTAACAAAAAGTACTCAAAATGTGTTTAAACCACATACACATACCCCAAAAGATCACTTCTGATGACTTCAGTTATTGTTTGATCTCAAACTAATTTTAACTGTAAACAAAAATATAATAAGTTAAGTTTAAACAAAGCCAAAGATACAATTCAGATAAATGTTTATGTAAAATTGAAGTTTACATAATGCACAAATGTCACTAGAAGAATTATTTTGGCTTTGCAATGGTAAGCATCATAAAGTAGGTACAGTAATACATTAAAATGTGCTGTGCACGTTTTTACAGGCCAAGCTTAAAATGCAGCAATCATTGTACTGCATCTCTATCCACCAAATACTATAAACTAAGTAATTTTCCAAGCTTCAGAACTATTTATTAGAGTAGACAACTGGAAGTTTCCCATTTCAGCAGTATGCATGAATGTGAGAGCAGAAACAATGGAGTTACAGTAAATGTTGCATTAACGCATGTTAATCCATTCATTGTTCTAATAAATAATTCAGATGTAGCAACACCGGCTGGTAC